TACTTGGAATGTATTAAGGGAATGGGGGTCCCCGTCCCCTCCCGGGCAGGACACAGATGGCACGTAGGGAAGGTTCTGCACACAGCAGATCTGTGCTGGTCCATCACAGAATTCCCTGCTCCTTTAGTGTCCTGAGCGGATGGGACCTGTGGCTATGGCAAAGAAAGCCTAAAGCTTTGAGCTGTTTGATGCTCGTGACTCTGGTTTTTGCAGCTCTGAGCAAGCACAAGTGCACAGTTTGCTCCTGACATCCACGTAGGCACCAATTCTGTTGTGGTACTAAAGGTACATGCACTGGTTCAAGGCAATGAGCCTAAAGAGGAGCCTCGTGGCCTTTTAGATGTATAGGAAAGGTGTTGGTGGGAAGAGCGAGTCCCGGCTGCTCACTTCATCTAGGGAAGCAAATGATGGTGTTTGGTATCGTTCCCCCGGAGAGGTGGAAGATCCCTGAGGAATCAATCCCTGAGCAGCTCCGGCTGGAGGGGGATGGAACCTCAGACAGGGTTTTGTCATTGTGGTTATCCAGAGTTATCCAGGGATGGTTTAGACATGAGGCATCCCGGACCCGCAGCTGCTGCCTCACAATGGCCACCATGGGCTACCCATGGCCTCATCCTCCACTGCTGCCTCAGCTGCACCCAAACCCCTTCTCCAAACCCAGACTTCCAGCACTTGTGGAACGTATGGAATATTCTCTTGGCTGTGCTGTTATTTTGTCTTGCCCAGTGTTAGGGAAGTGGGAGTTAAATGAGAGTGAAGGTGCAGAAGGTAACACCGACTGCTCTGCCTCACTATGGGCTACCCATGGCCTCATCCTCCACTGCTGCCTCAGCTGCACCCAAACCCCTTCTCCAAACCCAGACTTCCAGCACTTGTGGAACGTATGGAATATTCTCTTGGCTGTGCTGTTATTTTGTCTTGCCCAGTGTTAGGGAAGTGGGAGTTAAATGAGAGTGAAGGTGCAGAAGGTAACACCGACTGCTCTGCCTTAGGGGCATTTTAGGGGCTTTCTTCTTGGTTAGGGGATAATCATGGTTGGGAAACAGTCTGTATCTCAGGCAGGACAAAGAGCCCAGGCTGGGCAGGAGAGGGGTGAGCCAAGCCCTGGGTTGTTCTGCTTTGTACATGATGCCCTTAACTCTGACGGGGGTTTCCTAGTGTTAAATGGGTTCAACTGAAGACCAGCAGTTCTCTTTTTGTTTCATGTAGGGCACTTGATTTTATTCAAAGGGTGAGATACAAAAAAGTAAGCAAAAAGACAAAACCCAACTTAGAAAACACTACAGACAAAAGAAAAGACATCTTCTGCATACAGCACACAACAGGAAACAAGGTACAGACTGGTCCCCACTAACCAAGCCAGCTGGGTTATGTACAAGCAGAGGCAGAGAGAGCTAGGAGGGAAGAAACGAGGGTATTTGCCACTTCAAATGTCTGTTGACACAAACTGAATGGAAGGCAAAGAGTTTTCTCTCCTTTTATTCAAACCAAACACTTCCTTGTTGCTTCTTCTTCCCGTTCCTGGTGCAGAGGAGGGACTCCACGCTTTGAGGCAAGTTTGGTACATCCAGGTAGGGTCTAAAATTAGCCACAGCTAAACACAGATGTGCTGCTTCAAGAGCTCAATCCACTCCCTCCTTCATCCACACGCTGGGCACCTACTCATGGGGTCAAGGGCTGCCAGTGGCAGCTCCAAAGGGGAAAAGCCCAGCTTCACTCTGACGTGTTGGGCTTCCTTATGCCTTTAGATGCTTCAATCTGCAGCTTAACCAAAGCTGGTGTGTTCAGGCTAGTTTTAAGGCTCCAAAATGAGCACCATTATGTGTTGTGTCCATGAGCTCCCTCCTGCTTGACTGGGAAATGGTCTGTGTGAAGAAGCTCTTTCCTACAGAGGGGTTGAGACTTGCCCATTGGGGGTGTTCAGCTCTAAGGCTGGACAAGGAGCCCCGTGTCAGTGGTACCTAAATCACCTTCAAGTCAGACCCTGCTAAAAGGAGATGGCATTTGCTGTGTCACTGCTGCACCTTACAGGGACACAGCTGCCCAAGGGCTGGTTTAGGCTCTCTGTAGGAACATGCACACAAGCAGTACTTACTCATCCAACAAATTGAGGATAGAACTATCTACGGCCCTTCCTCAGTAGAGCCAGGAGGGAAAAACCTCCCTGACAGAGGCCATTCCATGTACAACTTAATGTTCTATTGGTGTGGAATAGCCTTAGAGCAGGGTGGACTTGGTTTGAGATCTGTTGGGCAGAAACAACACGTGCAGAGCTGAAGGTTCTCTGGTCTTTGGCGATTAAAACCCCTTAAGACCTACAGGCACGGGCTTCTCTTTAAGCTTCTGTAGATGTAGATGAGGAAAACAGCTACTTAAATAGAGAGAAGTTGTCAAAAGTACTCAGTAAGAGGCAGCTGCTGTTCCAAATGCAAAGAAGGCCTTTATCTGTGTTTACCTGTGGCTCAATTTTAGTGACAGGGCTACTGAACTTTTCAACACTTCAGTTAGGAAGGAGGGAGTTTTACTGGCTCAGTAAGCAAAACATTCATTCTGGAGAGCAGAAGACTGCCTAGCTGTTAATAAATACCACGAGACATCCTAAAAGTTGTCTAAGGAAAAGAGAAACATCATCTGTTCATCAAAATGCATCACACCGAGACGAGATGAGGTAAAGGGAAGCCAAAGGGAGTCCTCTGTACACGCGCACCTCACAGCCATGGCAACCACCAGCAGTGAGATGTTGAACCAGGCCCTGCCACGCTCAGCAGAGGAATTCTTCACAGCAAGTGTGCTCTGGGACATTCTTTGCTATTTAACCTTACAACAGCCTTACACCAGTTGCAAGTAGCGAGTAAACCTCTGTCCTGGCAGGCGGGTTTATGCGCTTCAGGCAGTGTGGTGGTGACCTGGAGGATGCAGGGGGGGAACACTACCTTCCTTCTGACAGTGAGGAATCTGTCATGAGTTTAATGCCTTAAATTACAAAGACTAAGGATTTATCTATCCCAGCAGAAAAGCAAAAAGCTCAGCACTATCTGTACAGTTACACCCGACGTGAGGGTCGGGCATGTCTAACTCAGACTCCTGCTCTTTGGTCCTCTTTGTGTACAACTTACTTACTCATAAATATTTAATAGCCTGAATTATCCAACTACTGAACAGCAACTTGTATTGTAACAGGGATATCAACCATCCTGGTTGTGAGGAGACTTGGGAAACCAGTGGACAGTCACCTGTACAAGGCTTGAGAAAAGCAAAGGTGGCTGCTTTTCTTCTGAGTGGAATAGGAGAAAAAGGGCTTAAGTAATTCCTTTGCAGGGTTCTTTCACATGAGACCCTTTCCTAATGAGAACAGAGGATGTGACACTGCAAGTCCTTGTGCTGGGGGGAAACTGCTTGTTCCAGCCCTCTGCTCAACAGGTCTGCACAGTTTCTCTTACACAAGCTGAATGAGAGGAGGAGGAAGAGGAACTGTCTTCACTTTGTTAGCACTGGCCACATGCTGGCTTTTCCTTAAGGACAAACATCATCTCCAGCTGAAGCAGGGAAGTCACTGGTCATGTTTAAGCAGAGGCATGTAACTGGCATAGTCAGTGTACAACTAAAATGCAGTATTTACCACTTTGTTCTTAAACAGACACTGGCAGCACAGTGTTTGTAGATGAACAGACTGAATTTGGTGTATTAATAAACACAGAATGGTTGAGAAGCTGCTCCCAGCATCTCATACTCAGACTAAAACTAAGCCTTGAGCTGACACTGAACTGAAGTTCAATAGCTGCTGTGGTTTCTACATAAACCAGAATTGCTACAAGACACAGTGGTCCCCTGTGCAGGGAGAACCAGCTTTTAAGGGGCAGTGGCAGTGTTAGAGCCATTCCTCAGGGGCAGTGAGTGATGTGGAACGTTCACCAGCACGTGGCAAGTGTTGCTTCACACCTTGTAGGGGGTTTTGCTTTCTCTGGGGTGTGTGTAAAGCCAATTCAGAACCCATCAAGCTGGTGGGAAATTCACCTTTTTGCATGAGGGGAACTACATTGCTAACTGCCCTTTAACGGCTTTGAAAAAGTCTGGATTAAGTCCTGAAGGTGGATTTTGTGTGTCATTGCTGATTCTCTGCAAGCTTGTTATAAAGCTATTACCAAGGTATGTATTTCTGTTGTGTCTGTAGAGCCTTTTCTAGCCATTCCAATTCTAAACCAGCTGAATTTGACACAAGTCACATAAAACCTGCTCCTGATAACCCAGAACCTGTGTTTTCATTACAGGACTGTGGCTAAGGCAGCGAGGCTCAGGAGGGCAACTCTAGTGCCCTCTTTGCTGCAGAGACAAGGCAGAAACTCTCTTCTACACATTCTGACTAGTCAGTGACCTGCAGCAGCACAAGGCTGGGTCCTCAGGACGTGTTATAGTGCCTCAGTGCTCAGTTCAAGGCGGGGAATCCTCAACACAGGCAGACTTGTATTCAAAAAAGCCCAAACCAACAGCACTGAGACACCAGCACAGACTGAGCACTGCTGGTTTTCCTTCTTCTCCCACTTGGAGCCTCCACACCACAGCTTCCATTTATACTCGAAGGCATGAGTTCCACTGTCTTCACGGGCACAACTACAGGTCTACACTGGTGTTACACTGTGTTGTGGCCCACCGAGTCCATGCGATTGTCACTGGTGAAGTATTTGGCACAGGTAAAATCCTGCTGGAGCCACGTTGCTTTCTTAGCACATGAACTTTAGGAGGCTGTGACAGGTCAGTTGAACTCCCTTTTGTACATGAGGCAGAAATTTACCCCCAGTGCTACCTGTTAAACTATCTGCACAAGCATGACCAGTAGCAGCTTTTGTTCCCGTTGGATACTCTGGTATCCTGCTTCACTGCCTGAGAGCACGACAGGTAACACGTTCCATGGTGTCTCATCAACAACTGGAGTGAGCCACAGCGGATAAGAAACAATGACATTGTTGTAAAGTGGAGGCCCCTTCCCTAGAAGACTCAGTCATCTTTCAAGAAAACCACTGAACATCTTTCATGGAAGTCTATTGTTCAAAAAACCCCAAAGCTATTGCCATAGCACGTGGAATCAATCTGACAATCACTAATGTAATGGAATCATGGTGATCTTACACACAAACAATGATTTACCAAAATAAGATTTACCTAGGGGACTTTAAAATCAAGTTATTTTGGTACCAAAAAAAAGTCTTTCATTTAATCCCCCTTTGCCCCTATGATTCAGATGATCTTTCACTCTACAGTTACGGACTTGGCCAGATTTCTTGGAAAATCAACCTGCAGAGAGGGAGGAGAAAGAACACGCTCGTGAGTATTCACACACCTTCTGTTTGGGTATAACTAACCGTAACGTGTGGAACGGTTCTTGTGTGTTTAAATAGAAGATTTGAACATATTTTCATGTTTAGGACAATCTGTGCAGGAAAAAGGTCCATAAACCTCATTGTCACGACTCCTCTGTTGAGAGCTAAGGAGTGAGTCCCTTTACTCGGCGTTGTTACAGTGCTCACGTGAATAAAGGTCACTGTGATAAAAGGTAAAGGCCAGTGCCTGTATTAAGATCAACTCCCTGACACAAGCAGACTCTATCACACATCCTCCTGTGTGCTGTCACCTTCCTTTCAGCTTCCTGCAGCCCTCCAGAAACTGTGTGCTCGCACCAGAGAACAGCCACGGGTCCAAACCCAAAGTGCACAAACTCAGCCCAGGGCACTAGAGAACCTTCCAGGTCTGTCTGTAACACCAGCTCCATGTAACCTGGCCATTCCCACAGCTCAAGCAGTTGTACAGACATCCCCCCCCGGACTTCCAACGTCCCCCAGCACATCTCCTCCAGATCTGCACACCACAAACACGAGCGCAGAAGGGAAGGAATGCTGTACTTACATCATATCCTCTGAGAACTGCAAGGTGGAAAGCCAGGAGCTGAAGGGGGATAACACTCAGGATCCCCTGCAGACAGTCCACTGAATGAGGAACTTTGATTGTTCTTTTATTGTTCTTAATGGTCTCGATGTCTTCCTTATCACAAATCACAACAGGTCGCCCCTGCAACAAAGGGAAACGTTGAGGAAAAACAGGTCTGGAAGGTTCCTACTTCTGTTCAAAGCACCAGTGGCAACAACCCAATTTGGAACAAAACAGCTTAGCATCCCATGGGCAACCCTGTAGCCTGTTTTAAGGGGGAAACAAACTACATGAGGCTTCTGCTGCAAAATCTGCCCTTGAAATGCCCAGAGTACCTACTGAGCTCCCGTTCCAGTTGGTGGTACCAAGGTAAACAGTTTGGGTGCTCTGTAAACTGCTTTTATATCAAAAGCACTGGTTTTGGTGTACTGTGAACTTGTGCAGGTACTCACTTGCCGTGCAATGACCTGCTGCAGAGCATTCTGGCACTTTGCATACGTGTGGTCTCTCATGATGATCATGATAACAGGCATGAGTTTGTCCACCAGCGCGAGAGGGCCGTGCTTCAGCTCACCTGCCAGGATCCCTTCAGAGTGCATGTAGGTGATTTCTTTGATTTTCTAGAGGGGGAAATAAATAATTCATAAACCTTTGGACAAACTTGTGATTTTGTCTTTAACTATCTCTGTGGTTTCTTCCTCTTTCTTTGTATCATGTTCTGGCTCTCCCCAGATCCAGGAGCCTGGAAGCCCACATCACAGCAGTGCATCTGGTGCACCTCAGCTGCTCTCAGGCCACCCACACTTCAGTTCCAGCACCAAACCCACCACGGGCCTTATGATTTTGACAACATACTGATCGTCACAGTCTTGAACTGGGCAGGCAAAACCAAAGAGGACGTGTTTGCATGTCAGTGGGTGACAGCACAACAGCAATCTCCTCCGAAGTCAAACTGCAATAACAATAATTGGGTACAGAAAGTACATGCTCGGTTTTGGATACTGAGCATTGCTGGAAATGCCACCCCAGCAGTTCATAGAGTGGTTTTATCTGGCTGCCCAGTCTGTCCCAGTACAGCATTCCCAGTGTGCATGTGGAAAATGCACCTTTCAACCCAGTGTAGGCTGTGGCTGTTCCCTGACTGGGGTCTCGGCAGCAATACTCTGTGTTCTAGCTGTGGACTCCCTGGGTCAGCCAACATGCTGCAGCTGTTGGCTGCTTTAAAACAACTTGTAGCCACATGTAGTTTCCTGCATGGAAAGCTGAAGTCCATAGCTAAGTGTGTTTGAACCAGCTTGAAAGAAAGAAATCTCTTACCAAAGCTCCCTCAAGACATGTAGCATAATGGTAGCCACGTCCCATGATGAGAACTGACTTCTGATGGTATAGCTCCGTGGCCAGCTTCTGGATCTCATCATCCATGCTCAGCACTTCTTTAATTAAATCTAGAAGGAAAGAGAGGAATTAGTTGTGCATGTTTATGTGCCTGTGCCTCTCATGCTACACATACTCTTTATTCTTCATATACAAAGAGCAGTGGCTTGCATAAAGACTGAACTCAGTGTTTTAACAGTCCAATTCAGTGGTCTGAAGACACCAGAGAGAACACAGGAGCCAAAGTTATTGCTACTGGCCACTTTGCACTCATCTGATCCCCTCAGTCTTTCAAGCAAGGTTCAGGTGTTGCTGAAGTTCATCTGTGCTACTGAGTTTCACTTGGTGACACAGTCAGTGCAGCAGTTTCCTACCTGGCAGTCCTTTTAGCCCACGCATGATTTCCTTGCGCCTCTCCTGCATAGAGATTCTGTCATCACACATCATCAGAGCAAACATCACCAAGGAGACAAACTGGCTGGTGTAGGCCTAGTAAGGGGAGGAGAGAGAGAAAACACATCACTACAACAGTAACCCAATGGTTGTCACCTGCTGTGTGAAATCCTTACATGAGCTGTATGGCTTTATCCTTACCATGGTACCAAAAGGCAGCTTTCAGCCCAATTAAGTAGCCAAGATGAACATGAAATTCACAGGGCACATCTCACTGGAGCAAAAAAACCAGAGGCACCACCTCCTTATGCTCCAAGAGCTAAAGATACAGTGAGCAAAATGGCCTATTTCTAAGATTTCTATCAAATTCTGTTTTTTGACCTGACCTGTGTCCTTCTTTACTGCGAGTAAATGCTGACAGCACTGAAGCTGGGCAGAGCCATGGACTGGAGATGTGCAGTGAAGCCCAACACTAACACCCAGCCAGCACAACAGCACAGCTGGCTGGAAGGTTTTTTGACCCCATCTGAGGAACACAAAGGCAGCTGAAAAGGTCATTTCCCACCCCTCTTCTTTAGTGAGTGGTGCCACTGACTTTGGGGGATAAGCAGCTGCACAGGCAAGTGAAATCAGTGCTCAAGTTGAGGCAATGGTATTCACCAAACCAGAGGCACAGTATCACCCAGCTACTGCAAAGGCTCTGAAGGCCTTACAAGACAAACGTTCTGAAACGGGCTGTGGTGCCAGCCTGGGATTGAAGTTGCTGGGAAATAAGGTTTGTAGTACTTCTGTCCCCTTCTAAACAATGATCAAACCAACTTTCATGTTGCTGTACCAGGGGAGATTTAAATAGCTCTGAAGGAATCTAGAAGAGCTTCAGTTGTGCTGACTGTGTAGCAGAGCCTGACAGGGAACGTGAGCTGCTTTGTTCTGCAGTTGAAGGTTACAGAAGTAAATGGCACCAAATAGTCACTAACGACACTTGGCTTGTTCATAATGTGTTCTCAAAATGAAGTTCTGGAGAACCTCAGGGCAGAATCTGTTCAAGTTCATGTTTCACATATGCACAACGATGGTAACTCCCCACATCACCAGAGAGAAAATGCCATTTCCCCTTATCTCCAAACTGCAATGTTGGCTGCATGAGAGAAGCCAGGGACAAACAACTCGTTCAAGAGTTTCTTGTAAGAAGGAGACTCATGAAGTTTCCATGATCAAATTCCCCAATGAACTATTAAACTCAAATGTGGTTTTTGGCTGCATTTATGTAACAGATTGACATCATCTCGCCTCTAAATATAACTAAATCAAAGCAGATTTCACCATGCAGCAGCACTTCATCAAAATGAAATGCAGCAAAGCAAGTTATTTTATACTGTATCCTGTGTAGCAGATGCATCAACCACATGATAATTCCACTGGGTGGACATACATACTGGTAACACACCATTCCCCCAGCACAGAAAGTACAGTTTTAGTTTCACACTTTCTTTAGCAAGGCAATGCCATTATGGGCACTTACATGAGGTCAGAGTTTCCATAACCTTGTCTTTTAACTTCCTTTTTCATCCTTAGGCTTTAAATTGAGTCTGCATCTTAAGACAAATGATGGCAAAGAGGTGGGAAGTGCTCAAGGCCAGGTTGGACGGGGCTTGGAGCAACCTGCTCTAGTGGAAGGTGTCCCTGCCCGTGGCAGGGGGTTGGAACTGGATCAGCTTTAAGGTCCCTTCAACCCAAACCCATCGATGGTCAACACTCTGGGGAGGAGTTTCATTAATCAGTGAGGTCTGTAAACTTGTGACTTACCTTGGTACTGGCAACTCCAATCTCTGGTCCTGCATTGATGTGGACACCACAGTCTGTCTCCCGTGATATGGAGCTGCCAACTGTGTTGGTTATTCCTACAGTTAAGGCTCCTCTCTCTTTGCAGTACCGAAGACCCATCAGGGTATCTGCTGTCTCACCTGGAAAGACAAGTATTGACAATGCTGTGGTTCAGGACCACTTACTGCTCTCACTGCAGATGTAAATCGCAGTGATTTCCCAGCTTGAATCTCAGAGGTTTGTATTTGCCAGCAAGTCAGAGGAGTCAGTAGTTATTTCAGCCCTCACACATTGTGTTTTAACCCTAAACAGATGACAGTGAAATCTAGAAAACACAAAACCCAACAGTGTTTGGTGTAAGTAAAAGTCAGTATTCTGCTATGATTCAATAACAACAAAAAAAGGCCATCTCCAAGTATTGTTTCTTTAACAAAACCAACCTTCTTCCTTTTCCTGGTTAATAAAGATTCACCTGGGGCAGAGTGGGGTGGAGGGAAACATGTGCTGGGGATACCTGGACATCACCCAGCTGAAGTGGCTGCAGTGGCACTAAGTTACAGCCACCTTCTCATGCTCCCACCACCCTACTGCCACCGGAACTCTTGGAGGTTCGGCTGCCACAGCGTACCAACACCACCTGAGCTTGTGGAGTCTGCTGTCAAAGAGGTTATGTCTAAAACTAATCATCCCTGCTTAAAATTGCACAATGCAAACACACGCTGAGGTTGGACCTCACTTAATGTGTTGATTCAAAAACCGGATATAAAGGCAGCAGAAAAAGTTGATTTAATGAACATGATGTGGAGGCAGGGCAGAAAACCTTGTGCTGAGTATGCAGCAGTGGTGGTTGTGAGCTGAGCTCCAGAGATGGGACTAGAAATAGAAGCCACTGTGAATTCCACCTAGTATTACCAGTTTGCTTTTGTCCTAAAAGGACACAGCTCTTCTGAGTACTCCTGCCTGAGGTGACAACAGAGAACCATGGTTAGCTTGGTACACTTCTCCTTCAGCACACCCCTGCATAAGAACTGCTCAGCGTGCTGCACCACTGAGAGCAAGTCATGCAGGGTGGGAATCTGAGGCAAGAAAAACAGATTTATGGGTGGGGGCAACTGGAGTTATTTGAATCCAGTATTTACTTTGGGTTTGTATTGCATGATGACCAAGCTCAGGTTCCTGGAACATCTTTGTTAGTTTGCCACATCCAGCACCTCGGGGGAAAGCTGCATCCCTGGTGTGTCTGCAGTTGGGACAAGACAGTCTCAAAGGGGAAGCAGAAGCAGCCACATGTGAATTCAGAATCCCCCCACAAAGAAGGGATGTTCTGAATTACTGGATACCAAGAATGAAAAATTGCTACCAAAAGAGTATTTTAACCTATGGGGAATAAGTAAGGACTAATTTTGGTATCAAAGGTGAAGATCAGTTACAAACATCTATAATGGTAAATGCAACTAAGAGGAAAAACAATACTGTAGTTTTGTCTTGCAGTTGTCCTTGAAAATATTCTGAATATGATACACATCACTTTTTAATGCTTAAGTGTGTCTTTATCTCATATTCCACTCCAAGGCTGTATTTTTTGTGGGTATTTCATTTCTTCCATGGATACAATCCACCCCATGGCTCAGGATTTGGAAGCACTTTAACTAGAGAACTATTGAAAAGACACCATCGAGCTGCCTTTACCACAGCTCAGTAGAACTTCTGTAGTCTGGTGATTGATGGAGTATCTCCTCACA